AGAAGACCCTAACCCTAAAGTTAATCGAAAAAATTATTAAATATGAGTTGCCTCCGCTTTAGACGTCCCCCAAAAAAGGAAATTGAATTGTGATCTAATCTTTTCGAAATTTTTTCGGATTCCTGGCCAAGGGGGCATTGCCCTGGGACAGTGATGTACTTTTTTGAAGTCCAAAGCCTTTTTTGACATGTCCAACGTCCTAATATCCAAAGCTCATCTAGGTTTTGATAATTAAAAAATTTAATTTTAAGAAAACATGATTATATATATTTTTTTAATTCTGAACACTTTTACTTAGAAAACGAAAATAAGTTATTTTAATAAAATTTTGAGGCATTTTAATATTTAAAAATGTCCAAGATGTCCAAAATTTGTCCAAAGGCTGTTCTATGACATCCCTGCCCTGGGATACCGTGCCTCCAACCCTAGTTTACAAACATATCAACAGAACACTACAAAGTACACTGTATGGGACCATCAAGAGAATCTAAATTTGATTCACCAATGAAATTGCATCACCTTTTTTGCTCGACAAAACAAGGTCTCAATCAAGTATTGCCTACTCTGAAAACCTGTAACTTTAATGATTTACTCTGCAACACTCATGTGTTAAACAGTCTTTTATATATGTATGATTAGTAAACGTAAATAAATGCATGTCACATGAAATTCTAGTTCTTTTGACATCAAATATTATTAATGTTAAATTATCATCACGGTTTACAAAATGATATATCTTTGTGGATCCAGCTCACATTGAAATCGATCGTAATTACCTGATTGTTGCCGGTTATGCGATTGCGAAGTTGCATTTCTTAACAAGGAATTCGATATACTGTAAATCGTCATAAAAGACCCCTTGGTCAGTGATGGTAAATGACCCGGTCATTTGAAAAATTTTTTATGATGACAAGAGACTTCGAAATGACCGGTCATTAGGTCGCTGTAGGTATAAAGATGATATTCTGGATTTACATTTTTTTATTTTTTATTTTATCTCGATCAATTTATATTCGTGAAGAAACTGTATAATGAAAATACATTTGCGTAAGGAAAAATGAACTCGTGTTGTATTATTAACAATATTTATGTATTAAGTAAAGTTGTTCGGGATAATGAATTACATATATTTTAAAAGTGAGTGAAAATATACATTCTGAAAATGAAATTCATAATAATCTATTTTTAGAATGTACATTTTCACTTGGCGATACTCAAGTTTGAATAACTTTTTATTAATATATATTAAAAAATTAAGGAAAAGGTACTTGAATTACATGAAACTTCTAAAAATATGCAATCAATTATCCCAAACAACTCTTATTGAGGCATAACTTGACTTCATTAATTATGTTTGATAAAATGTCGCAAAAGTATTTCCATATTTGTCAAAATTAAACAGCGATTCGAGTCCGAATTTGAATAAATCTCGGACCAAACTGGGTCGCATTAAAATAATTATGGCCCATGGCCAGTATAATTCGGACCAGAATTATTGAGCAATTTTTAAGCTGTTAAACGGTTCCAACTCTCGAAGAATAATTTATTATCACATAAGTTTTATTTCTAAGAAATTACAGTGAATCTAACGAAAGAGAAGATAATTCTACACAATATTCGATTGGTTAACTATAATATAATAAAATAATCAAAACTTTAGGGATTGATTTATTGTGAGACATGGCAATTACTTAAGAGTACGATATAATAAATAAGACACAAAATTATATGAAAATAAATAATGTAACTTGTGGCACAAAAACGAGTGTGTTAATACAATTCGTACGTACGTACGTAAGTATGTACAAAATCATTAAAAACTTATGCAAATTCGGCCTCATGGTTATCACAACACTTAATCTCATCCAGTTTTTTAACGAATTCTTTGACCAATTGATTTCCACAAAATGATTCACGAGTATATTCGTTAGATTCACAACATGACGATATTATCATCGAAGGTTCATTACAATAACGTTTTTTTGATCTTTGCGCCAAAAGCATTGAAGTGGGGGATCTTTGGCACGTGACTGAGAACTCTCCTTCGTGTTGATCGAGATATAAAGTTGTTTCATCATCTTCACTACACCCTTTAAACAGATGACTCTCATCACTTTCTTCGGTATATTGCTCATTAGAAATTATGGAATTTTGAACAATATTTGGTATGAACGGGCAAGTTTCTATACATGTATCCGATGGATTGTATTCGAATTCAGTTTTTTTGAGCATTGAAAGACAGAAACCATTGTAAAATGTAAGAATTTCGAAAATTAAGAAATTAATTATTATTAAATATTTTATTGATCTTTTTATAAGATGAGGCATGATGAGATAGATATTAATTCAATGAAAGGCAGAAGGAAATTATTTAAAAGAATTTTCTCATATGAGTGAATACCAATGTCATCAGTTTATTGTGATTAATATCGTAGTCATGAATCTTTTAATTACCGGGTAATTCATTATGTGTACTAAGGGTTCACTATATCAATATGAGTTATTATACAGTTATATGTATAGAAAAATTACAAGATGTATCAATATAATTTTATGATTCCGTTTCACTTCACACATTTCGTAGACACAGCATTTCACCGACAATCAATTCACCGACACCGACAAATTCATTTCACCGACACAGTTCACATATGGGCGGAAATATCCAAATTTTGTGATTATCTAGGTTGAACGTTGAGATTAAATAGAATTCAAGCCAATAAAATATAAAATATGGCGTGATTACT